ATTATCTTTGGAACGAATCTGTGCGTGGTCTGTCCAGACAGGATAGAATAACATTTATTTGTTGTGATTGCTAATTTTCTCGCATCCTTTATCAACTTCCTTATTTATTGTAATTTAGATTTGATTAACTGAACAATTACTGGTTGAATATCTGGGTGGTCGTATTTGTTTAGATAACAATGTACGTTTAAATTTATGATGAATTTCACAACCATCATCACTTTGTTTTGGTTTAAACCGGGCAAGGGCGCGTATCTAACTCACCTAGACAGCTATTCTTCAGTCCAAACCTTAGTTTGGATCTTACATAATAATAATAATTTATTCTCAAATAACAGTTTGTTACATGAGGCATGCCAGTTTACAGACAAGATCAAATAGATAAAAATGATACAATATCCACTGTAGTAAATTACACCATCATTTTTGTTGTATTAGTGAGCAGGAATGATGTGAATCAAAATGGACATCAAAAATATCCCTAATATTTCAAATTGTAATCAGAAGAAATTTCAGTAATTGCTTTATCTCGTTTGTTTTAATAGACTGAGCTTTCGATGTGATCATTCTCTCAGCTACTCACTAAACAGTGTACATTCAAGGAATCTCAGATCATCCTAAGACGTCCAGTTAAACATATGAATTTATGGTCTGCTGTTTTATTTAAATATTTTTGCGAAATTCTGGTGAATACCCATGATGAATATCGTTGATAATGTATGTCAGTATTTGCTTAACCATTCACATGGTCGTGAAACCTGCGAAAAGAGAATAATTATAAATTAAAATTATCAGTAACTTATGTGAAGGCCTTCCGATTTCAAGATGAAAGATCATGATGCTCAAAAGTAATTAAAATTTCAAAGGGTGAAAATTATGTATCTGTAGTTCAGTATGTTCATATATTTGTCGGAAAAAATTGATGATAATTTATAGATAATACCATTTCAGTCACTTGTAAATGGCATCATGGCACAATTCGAATAATTTATTATCAATCATTCGAGCGTCACAGAAGGTGAGCATGAAAGAACAGGAGTGATTTCGACGAATTTATAATCAACATGGAAATGAGGTAATGGAAAATCCAATATGTCTTACTATGATGCCACTTGAAAACAAAAATTTCAAATACAGTGCTACTTTTTTGATCAACTCAGTGTTCTAACTATTAAGTAAATAAAATGAACTAATGGTGACAACCAGTGACATGAAATCACTTTTGTTTTAGCCTCAATATCAGGTTTCAAAACGTTATTTAACTGACTGAATATTGTTTTGCTCAACTGACCTCTCACTGTCATGTACTTGGTATAGACTTTCTATTCACTTATGAAACGTATACATTAGTGTGTGGTCTTCATGAAGGACTAATGTCGGTAGGGAAATATGCGCTCAACCTTTTTTGTTATGAAACCTTGCTATGACGTGATAACAATACCAATACATATGATCACCGATGACGGAGAGTGATACTGACATGGGTATGACGGACAAGCCTGTATTTTTAGAGAACAGCTCTATACTATATATTCCGGTATACAGTGCTAAGGGAAAAGAATATTGATTGCAGTAATCGAGTGCTATTTATGGGTAATGAATAACAAACCGTGCAGTTATAAATGAGAAGAAATAGATAAGATGGCCATGATCATTACTAATTGCCCAGCAATGCGGCGTCGGATACTTGATGTAAGTATATGTATTAAGGTAAGAATCGCCGATTAAATTTTAAAAATGGCTGAAATTCGATTTATATTGTCGTCGAAACGACGATTGCCTCGTACCAATGTGATCAATAAACATTGGTCACATCTCGAGAACATAAGTCCTTACTACTGCAAGTATGACTTCAGACATATCCCTGACAGTGTTGTGACCCTGCTGTTATCAACGTGCATGAGGTTTGCTGGGCTGCTTAGACTGACGATTCATGTGCGTGAGTGTGTCGCCAGACTGATAATTTACTTGACAGGTTGCTGGTTGTTCGGTATACGAACAATTAGTAAATCTGTCGGAAATATATGACATGTGATATTCATATATCCACAAAAATGAACGATAGTAACTAAGCCATTAATGTGATGAATGATCCAGAACAAAATAAAGGTCGCCGATTCTAGCAAAAGGCTTATTAGAATTAAAGGCATACACAGGCACAATAGATTCTATGGAAATCAAGAATATGTGGTATGAAAACATAAAAATGACCTCAGCTATGTGAACGAGTGAGTTTCGAATATCAAAATGTGGAGCGTTCATAAAACTATAATTTGTTTGTGAGTGATATGCCACAATTTAGTGTAAGCGCGGAAAAAATATTAATTCTACATTGTGATGATATGACATTATTCTGTTAATGGAAATATGATAATTATTGTAATCATTATGGAACAATCCTCTAACTAGATCAATGAGCAGAGTTGACATGAGGACAAAATACTGATAAGGTAATACAATAACAGTGTGTCCATGTCACTGCAGTACTGGCCCCTCTGAGTGAGTCGGATTAGAGATTGAGTAATTCCAGCTGCTCATTGACTAATTCAGTTGCTCAGATTGTTTATCCAATGTGTAGAGTTCGAAATGTTCACTGTCTGTGTAGATTTGCAGGGTGCGTTTTGTTCGAAATTGGGCTTACTACATTGGTGATGAAATTTTTATGGCTTGAGATCTGGCTCCACTTGAATTGTACGAATGCTTGCTACTGAAATATACGTATTGCCAATTCTCGTATATTATTATCGACTTAATCCACGTTGGTGAATAACGGAATTAAATAATCCAAATACGAGAATGGATTTCGGATACGTATATTTTGTACAATCATTGATCTGAGCAGACACTGAGAGACGTAGTGAAGGAAAGAAAAAAAAGAGAGCAAAACGAGACGGCGCGTAGTGGAGAAGGCGTGTGGGTTAAATCTTTTAATTCGGCGTAACCAATATGTATAGCCAGATAAAATTAAGTTACAGACATGTGAAGAATAGGTTAAAAAGTGTTGTCTTTCGATGACTCTTTATTGGGATTTTGTGCGTCACTTTGTCACAAAAACCACGGGCTTACCAGTGTTCAATGAGTAAATTTCTATACCTTACCACGATTATTTCAACGTATGATACCTTTTTTCACTTATGGTTGGTGTTCGTATATCTGCTATCCCACTGCTTTCGTATATGACTGATTGCCCACGCTTAAAGGTCACCTTTCTGTTATTCAAGTCGATCACTGCCCGAATTTCTTGGAGAAGATCTTCTCCATTTGGTTACAATGAAAAGATGCCGTATTCCACACCCATTCATTCCCTCTGAGCAGTCCCTCACCGCTAGAATTTTAGGCGCCAGTCCACTCGAGGAATTGAGATGTCAGTAACTGATCCTTCGAATCTTTGTCCAGTGCTGATAAAGTAATGCGTAGCAAGTTAGTTTGCGTAGACGGTAATACATGTGAACCTCCTTCCGGTACGAGTCGTAGGTCTCGAAGCAGCTGTAATTCCCCATGATAAATGGTTCAATGAGTCTCTGAAATTAGTACAGACATGATGAGCTTTACTGGATATGTCTTAGCTGAAGGTGCTCGGTCACACTTCCTTATCAGTTCACTATTTGGTAAGCTGTTCTACACAACCTTCATAACATTTAGTTAGTTGAGTACACACGCTTCCCGATATACTACCTTCTAACTCATCCATTGAAATTTCCTGTTTGACTGTACCTGGGACTCTCGGTTATAGAGGTGTTACAGGCCAGAGCATTGTCAAGCCCTGAAAATCCGTGACGTCTGTAGATGCATTGCTGGATCTTTAAAATAAGACGGACGCGTTCAACATAGCCAGTGTCTCATTATATGATGTCACTGAGATTTTACTGATCGAACTTTTTGAGACTCTTTGAAGTACTTCTAACAATTATTTGTCCCTTTTTAGGAGTGGAATTGCAAACTCATACAATGATGACGTTTAAAACGTTGTAATATATTTTCGGGTACAGAGAACGAGATTAGTAAAGTGCAAAAACTGAACAACCGAATTCATTAGATTATTGGAATTTTAGTTTTCTGTGTCTTTTGAACTCTCCTTGAACTCTGCTCAGAGGCTTAAACACTTCCCTGATGTCACGATGAAGGCGGAAATAGTCCTGCTAGTTTATGTTAACTCACCGCAAAGATATTGAATATTGTGAGGATACTTTATACACCGGACTTACCTTTAGCACTTCAAAGTGTAAAGTAGTCCATCCGAGACACAATAAAGACTACAGTTACAACTTAAGAAACTCCTCTCTAGAAGAAGATCTAGGAGTGCTGGTACCCTACTATTTGAAGACTTACACTAACTGACGAAAATACCTTTCGAGCAAACGTCGCACTGGTAACATTGAAGCACACTTTTGTCCATTTTGATGTTAGAACTTTCAGCATGATCTTCGACAGTTTTATTCGTCCTCATTTAGGATACGGAAGAATAGTATTTCCCCTCACTTCAGAAGGATAAAGACACTCTGGAGCGTACCCAAATGCAAGCCACGAAATCAGTTCGGGGACACAAATTCAAGCCTTAGGAAGAGCGTTTTCAGTAACTAAACCTTTATCCATTAGATTATAGGCGTCTTAGAGGTGACCTAACGGCTTAAAGTATCCTTAAACTTCTACTTAAGTTTAACTTCAACACAAACCTAAGGGGTAACACACAGAAACTGGAGACACAACACAGCAGAACAAACTGTAGACACAACTTCTACTTCCTAAGAGTTATCAAATGCTGAAATTCGCTGCCGGCCGGGCTAGTCCAAGAGACTTTCTAGGAGTCCTTTAAGAGGAGACTTGACATGTTCTTAAGGATTAGGGATAATATCTTACTATGATTTACCTATTTCTTTTTCCCTTTATTATCGTTAGTGTACCTAGATTCCTGCTTGAAAGTATTGGTGATCCACTGCTACTAGACACGGAACAACGTTAGGCGAAAGCTTCTTCTATTCCGTTCAAAACCAGTTGAACCATTTGAACCGTAGTTTTTCAGAGCGCGCATTACGGAGACGTTTCGCTTATGATCTGGCAATAAAGATGGATCGGAAGGCAGCAAATTTCGTTCACTCACAAGCTGTTTCTAGAGACTACATATCACAGCCTCGTATAAGTGAGTTCAGTGCCAACGATGATGCGGTTTACTTTTTCTTAATAATAATGTTCAATCATAATTACTCGTTCCTGATAGTCAGGACGTCTGTACGAACCTTTTCCAGTCATTTTAACAATAATACAGGAGTTTATAGGTGCTCTGTGACACTAAAGATCTTGATTTCGATTACTTGCGTTAGTCTTGGTTATTACTGTTGAGCTTGTGGATGTACCACAGCCTTCTTAAAACCAGAAGTTTAGCTCCAAGAAACTATCTGTGGCACAAGATTTCATCACGACAATTGATAAAATCAGAGAAAAAGGTATTTATACGGAGTCTTTAGGTGGATATGCGTCAAGTTTGTTAGCTGTCCCCTGAAAATCTCATTCACTCAGTCTGAGGGATCATGTTTGAATGACAGTCCAAGTAACATTGGTTCTATGCAACATATGCACGTTCCTAGTAGGATTTCTTTGATTCCAACCCATACCGCTCTCTCTATCAGCCTTCAAAGTCTTGCAAAAGTTTTAGCAAGTGGATAAGACTTACCTACATGTATCTTACGCTATATTGTGTAGTTAGGAACAATTTTTGTCGCGTGTATGTCGTTTGACCAGTTATAATCCATAATAGTTAGTTTGTACTACTTAGACACCCTAAAGTTAGAAATTTTAAAAATCCGAGTGTGGAGAACTTACATCAATTGCATTTCGGTTGACTCCTTAATAGGAATTATGAAATCCACTTATTAATCGTCTCAATGTATGAACAGCAAATAAAAATAAGACGATCATAGAGGAATAAGAACTCGTAATTATGAGGTAAGTAGGGAGTATACTTTAAGTTAGTTTACTATGCAGTGTATTTAAAAATATATGTATAATCCATGCTTCGAATAACATTTTTATAGTGATTGGTGAATTGTAGTTTGTATATTCCGATGTTCTTCGTCATTATCAAAAATATTACACAAGTCTTAAGTGTGTGTAACACTATATTTGGTGTTCCGGTTTAGTTATGTCTATTTAACACTGACCACAAAGTTATAATGAACAGTCGATTTTTTTGACTCTTCATTTCTTTAATTATAGTTATTCCTTAGTTGTCTTTTGAAATTTATTTGGCAGCTTACAAAACCGTCTCAGGAGTAAATGGACCTCTTGTCATACTTGATGACGTAAAGTTTCCTAAATTTGATGAGATTGTGAGACTAACTCTTGCTGATGGCAGTCAGCGAACGGGACAAGTTTTAGAAGTTTGCGGCAAAAGGGCCATAGTTCAGGTATTCGAGGGTACTAGCGGTATTGATGCAAAGAACACTGTATGTGAATTTACAGGAGATATCCTTCGTACACCTGTGTCAGAAGATATGTTAGGTATGTTTAGTTTACATAAATCTCAGGCGTTTTTAAGGTCGTATATTCAATGGTTCTGGAAAACCGAAAGACAAAGGTCCAGCAATCCTTGCAGAAGATTACCTTGACATTCAGGGTCAACCAATAAATCCATGGTCACGCATTTATCCAGAAGAAATGATCCAAACTGGCATATCAAGTATCGATGTGATGAACTCGATTGCACGTGGCCAAAAAATCCCCATATTTTCCGCTTCTGGTCTACCTCACGATGAAATCGCTGCCCAAATATGTCGTCAAGCTGGTCTAGTCAAGTTACCCGGAAAAAGCGTTATAGATAGTGATGTAGACAATTTCGCGATCGTATTCGCAGCAATGGGTGTTAATATGGAGACTGCTCGGTTTTTCATGCAAGATTTTAAGGAAAATGGTTCAATGGAGAATGTGTGTCTGTTTCTAAATTTGGCGAATGATCCAACTATCGAGCGCATTATAACACCTCGAATCGCTCTTACAACAGCCGAATATTTGGCTTATCAATGTGAAAAGCATGTGTTGGTTATCCTTACCGATATGAGTTCATATGCAGAAGCATTGCGTGAGGTAAGTAATAGTGTTCTATAAATGTACTGTAATTTGATTTAAGTAGAAGTATGACCTTGTGGGAGAGTCTGGACTTGTCAACTACTGATTGGAACGTCGGTGCGTAAATCGAGTGATGGCTCACAACTCTATATTGCCTCATGAACTGCTTTTCTACGCATTATGGTTGTAGTCTATATTATAGTATGCGGTCATTAATCCGTATTGTTTTGTCATTTTCCTTAAAACTTTTCATAAAAGTCAAGTCTCATGTACCGGAATAGCTCGGAAAATCGTAGAGGAGTTACCACACTATACGCTACATATGCTGTGGAAGTAATTGTTATTTTCTGATTTAGACACTGGTATAAGTTTTAGTCTTGAGCCACTACTTTGTAGACAAAGTTTATGAAGCGACATAAATAAGGTTATATGGATTTCTAAACCAAAAATTCGAATCCAGTTCAAAATATATGTGGATAAGCAACTTTCACAATATGATGCAATGGTCCATTAAATTGATTTTTTCCTACCACCACTTCTCTCGGACTTGATAATTTTCTTTCTCTGTAGTAATATGCTTTGGGATCTTGACTTATGCACAACTACCGACTTGAGCCAACGTATATTTTTCAAGTCTCACTTCACATAAACTCTGCTTCGATGGACCCCTTATCAAATAATTATTTTGACTGCTTAGTAAACCAGTTTAATATTCATACCCAGCTGCTCATTCTTAATCATCAGCTTCGCCATACTCCATCTTTTAAGACAATATGTTAGAGTGAAGTACTAAACATACGTTGAAAAAGTACTTGTTAACACGTGTTTGAATATGTAATGGTCTACAAAGGATAACTATCGTTTCTACTCTTAACATAAGATTATTTACAGTTATTTTTACTATCAGGTTCTTTCATAATATGATCTTTGTTGTTTAGGTATCAGCAGCTCGTGAGGAAGTACCAGGACGTCGTGGTTTCCCGGGTTATATGTACACTGACTTGGCTTCAATTTACGAGCGAGCTGGTCGGGTTGAAGGTCGGTCAGGGTCAATCACACAGATTCCAATTTTAACTATGCCTAATGATGATATTACTCACCCTATTCCTGACTTAACAGGTTATATTACAGAGGGTCAAATTTATGTTGATCGTCAATTACATAACAGGCAGGTTAGTGGAAAACTGGAGTATTTCACTTATTGGGTTGTTAATTATTCTTTTACGTGAATTACTCTTTTTGAGTTTAATGAGTACATACTTCAGCATAGTTAGTTTATCCAAGTTTTAATGTCACCATTTTGGCCAGATATTGAAACTGGAACACTCGTTTAATCCTAGTTACGAGTCATTTGACTTACATTTTGGCATTTGGGGTGTTAGGTACTAGGTTCAAATTAAAACATCAGTGCCAGGATACTGGTAGATTCACTTGACAATTATCTAGTATAATGAGACGTGCATCATGGATTCTACTACTAGCCACAATCTAACCATACTAAGTTATGTCAACCCGTGTTATGACTTAAATCATATCAGTGCGAAAAATTAAGGATTATTTACGTTATAAGCGTAAAATCATATTGAAATTCAACACACTAGTCAGTCAACCTGAAGTATAATAATGGTGTTTGGTTCTGTTGTTATCCAGTGTGGTTGCGATTCTTATAACCAAATCTATTTTTTCTTAAGAACGATGATGCACATTCACTTTGCTACATATACCCATTTTTATTTTATAACCTTAAAAACTCAATTTATTCACATCAAGTTTATTAAAAATGTTTCATGCAAAATTAATATTGTACTATTTAAGTTTTTAGAACATTAATTATTTATTGATAATAAGAATTAATTAAATTCCATGCGTTACATTAACTAGTAATAATACATCATTAATATTCTATTTTTATAAATAACTGAACTTTTGATGAATATATTGGATCTTACCTAAGTTATTTCTTATGGTCGAGAGTGGGGAGTCTCCCCTCTCAAAACGCTTTCATAGAACCACGTGTTTATACCCTCTGCCAAGGAAGTCCTGCTCACTGCCTTCTCTCGGTGGGGTGTTGTAAACGAAATTGGGAGAACGAGAAGCGAATATCTGGCGCTTAAATTGCATTGTCGGGTACGAAGTGTTCACCCTGATTCAAAACCAATGGCGTACAAACCTATTCTTGGTCACTAGCTGCTATAAGACTACATCTAACGTTGATTCACTACCTCGTGGAGTAGGTCTGTAAGTCAAAAATCCGGGGGCGACCCCTTAAAAAAACCATCAGTTCAGGAACCTGGGTAGTATCCCAGTCTACACATACATTTAGTAATTTGTGTGGCGCATATATATCTTGGTGTCTTTTTAGTAGCAATGTTTGTGTTTTTGAATGAATGGTTAATTTTTTCTGACACTAAATTACTCATTGTTTGACTATTACCATGTCTCTTTTTGACGGGAATATTTCTATCATCTGTGTGGAATGAAAAATCACATAGATCTATCCTCCAATCAATGTGTTACCGTCGTTGTCACGTTTGATGAAATCTGCCATTGGTGTGAATATGACTCGTGAAGATCATTCTGATGTGTCCAATCAATTGGTAAGTTTTTTGTTTACCTAAATTTTTAATCAGTGTGCCTACGGAGGTGATTATGGGCTGAGTCGGTTTCTTTAATTTCCTCTGAAAAATTCATGGCTATCAGTGTTGAAACAGTTACGACCAATGTTGATGAGGAGTTTATGTGGTAGACAATAACGCTATTCAGTTGAATATTCATCACAGAAATTCTATAAAGGTGAAATATCACTTACAGATATGCTGGAAAATCAAATTGAAGCTATTGATAGGTTTTTTTTTATTCATTGGTTAATACCGTAACACGATATCTACTCTTTGTATTCGGAAGGATTGTTAATATTATATAGAGCGTTTTCGATCATAATGGGGATCGTAATCAAATGAATGGTATCGTCCTAAAACATCGGCTTCGCGATGCGTCGCAAAACTCGTCTCAAAGTTTTTGCATTAAAAACTGGCAGTAACTGTTGACAGAGCAGTGGTTCATCTGTTACCATCTTCCGTAACTATAAAAAATAACTATACTTATAAAATATTCATTGACCCATCGAGATTCTTTTCGAAGTTCCTTAGATCAAACTGCTCAGTGACTTGAGCTGTTCGCGATTGAAGCCAGTAGCCATCTTATTTTAATTCACTATTTAATCCTTTAAAAGACGAAAGACCTTCAAACAAACGTCTCAAATCATTGAATCATGCGTTCTGTTGAACGCCGTCCAAGGACTTATGATTTACAAACATTTCTTTGCATCTTGTTGTGAACTGATCGTCTTTTCAATTTTTCTTTCAAGCACTCGTCAGGGATATCCAACTTAAAGAGGCCTTATATTGCAACCTTAACATAAAATTGCTCACATTGCAGGATTGTCCCTACCTCCACATAACTTTCTTGTGAGGCTCTCAATTGTCAACTGTGTCCTAGCTTTCTCAAAAGAATGTTTGATTTTATCTCTTGCAACGTTGCTAGCTTTCACACAGCTTTTGAGGCACATGAATTTCTCGACTATTTTAGAAACTTGATTCTGAAGGATAGATGGGAACACAAGCTCTTCCTTTTGGATACTGTAAGAAGTTGCATAGGAGCTGTTGTTCATCTCTAATTATTTATTCTCTATTTGAAACCACTCTTGTGGATGCTAAACTTTCAGAAGCTATACACAGTGTGATTGGTCCACACATAGTACGACTTTTAATTCCATATAGTGAATTTTTTCATGAGTATTAAGTTTCACAACTTTCATTTATCTTCATATTTGTAGTATTTACGCATTAACAACTGCTCCTTCTATTTCCTCTTTATTTTTTTTATTAACAGTATGCATGTTACGCAATAGGAAAGGATGTCCAAGCAATGAAAGCTGTTGTTGGTGAAGAAGCATTAAGCCCAGAGGACTTACTTTATTTAGAATTCCTGACAAAGTTTGAGAAGAATTTCATTTCTCAAGGTTAGTTCAATTATCTATTCTGTATTCTGAATTCACACCTCACAGTTAATCATAATCAACATGGAGCTTGACATAAATGTTCATCATATCACATCACCATACGAAATCAACACAGCAAGATGAAACTAACGAGATGAGTGATAAATGAGTTAAAATATTATTTGTATCACTGACAGTGGAAAAGACTAAACCCTGAATGGTATATTGATTATGTGAATCATTGTTTGAACTTGAACTAATAGATTTGAAGTTGTTGGGCACCGAGTTCACCAGAAGCGTTATTAGGAAAATTATACTCGTAGAAATGTTAGCGATTGGAATAAAAATAGGGAATTTCGAGTTTTAATCATTTCCTTGAAGACGTTCAGATGAAACTGCAGTGTGAAACAGTGGGATTATTTTGATTTCAGTCGCTGACATTTTGACAAGTATAGTTTATAACTGAAGACTATGATTCAACAAGAAGTGATATATTTGAAGGACAAAAATTTTGACAGAATATTTAATGTGAAGACCAAGAGGGTGAAGATAAATGAAAATTGCACCTGAGCTGTATCACTCAATATCTCTAACTTCTAATCGTAGTTATCATGAGGACTCCAATCAAATCAGTTTTCAGCTACAAGCCATAACTCACATTCTTACTAGTGAGTTATTCAGTCGACAACCAGTGTTACTTCGCTTTCATTAATGGCCTTTCATTTGAGTACTCAAGTCGTGTAATTGCCAACCAGTTGAGCTGTTTTAAGACTCACTGATTTTTCATGATCTGTTGTTTTTGTTTTGTCTAATTGAATTAGGTGCTTATGAAAACCGTAGTGTATTTGACTCACTAGACGTCGGTTGGGAACTCTTGCGTATATTCCCGAAAGAATTATTAAAACGAATTCCGTCAAAAATATTGGAGAAATACTATCCTCGTTAATTGTTTAGTTGATTTACCCTGTTATCCTCGATTGTGAGTATTCCTACCATGGAAGTTGCGTTATTTATTGGTTGAAGTAAACTCGGAATAACGTATATTATCGTCAGCTTTTGCATTCCTATTTATTTTCTTTCCTAGCAATTATCACTCATAATTTTCATTGCCTATAATATGTACAATGGTGGCATTATCCAACCATCATCACAAACTACTTACTCATAATTATGATTTGATTTTGTTTAAATGTTCATTCCATTTACAAAGTTTCCCACCATAGTTTTCTATCACACTGTATTTTCTCTGTTCTGGATATTCAAACACTTCGCTTCTCATTTTTCCTTTACACATTTCTACCTACATTAAATATTTCTATCGTTTGAATTTTTGAAATAAACTGGAAGCATAATATAAACACTAGTAGTTGAGGTATCATTTAAATAGGGCTATGGGTTTCATTTTTTTATCTTTCATTTGATTTGATTTTGTGCTCATAACTTCTAATTACCGATATTGAACAATTATAATGATAATAATAGTAATAATATATGTTCTTCACCAGTAATGTCACTTAAAACATGCATACGTAGTAGGACTGTAAACAAAGTAAAAATGATACTTACTCCGAATGATGAGAAATGTGCCTTGTAGTACACAATTCTGTTTTCCAAATAGTTGATAATTTACGGATGTTTGAATACTAGTGTACACTGACCACACACACATTGCTTTAATTGTATTGTGAAAGCTTTTTTTCACAGAAAGAGAGCGAACAAGTATTTCGCAGTGAGATATGCAGTTTCGAAGACAAAAGCATATAATCAGTTATAGAAACTGTAAAATTGGAAATAAAACATCATTTCGACAAACAGACGAAGAGTTAAAGAGTGGAGGAAGCAAACCAGCCCACTGAAAATATTGCTCTTTACAAGCGCTAGTAAAACTCAGACTGGATGATACGTAGTGAGACCAAGAAACATTGGATAAAATGATACGTACATAGATACATAAAGCACACATTAGATACAAAAAGTAGGATTACAAAGACTGAGTTATGAGATATATGTGAATGTACTGTAATTATTATTGGTAGTAAAAGTATTAGTACCAGTAGTAACATTTGTCATCGTTATATGAAATGAATCACGACTGGAAAGCAATACAATGACATTTGACCAACAGTTTTAACACGAATAACAATTCCTTGTTTGAATTTTTAAAGTTTTCGTCACAACCTAACATTAGATGCTTAGCAAAAATGTATTTCCAAACGACATTCGACTGATTCGTTCGTATACTTCATTGCTACTCTTTGTCTTTAAAGTTCCTTCTTTATGTGTTCACAAACCAATTACTAACGTTGAAGTGTTGTGTGACAGATATTCAGTCGATTCGCTAAGTCGTACTAAAAGAGTCGTTCATAAGTAGGATTCACTGTGGACAACACTCAAACCTTAGTCATTCTCGTTGAGATTTAATTGTGTGAACGTAAGCCCCAGAAATGTTTACGTTTCACTTACGTTAAAACTACCCAATGTATGTTATGGCTTACTATCCCATGGATTACATTGATTCATTTATCACTGAGAAATTTTGTCTGTATTCTTTTACATCGATTTTATTCAATAATATAACATAATCAACTTGAATAAATTATCCTCTTGTAAATACTTACTTATCGATGTTGTGAGCAGAACGTTTCATTTTATAATTGTGTATCGAATTGTAATTAAAAGAATATAGATTTTATTTTGTATGTATGTTTTTGTTTTCGAAATAGTTCAATAAACATGAATTCGACCATTTTAATTGTTTATTTATGTACTTTGATTTCTATGAAACGACAACATATATCTACTTATTTTGCATAAATGAAACAAACTCACAAAATGATCATCGTAAGTCATGTAACTAAGACCAAAAATAGTATAATAAATGGACTATGATTCAAAAATACTTATTCAGGTTAACAATCATGTTATACAAACATGTGTAAATATGGTTCCGTTACCACTGATTATTGCTTGGTATAGTTGACAATAGCACTTAACTAAAGTTTTTCGTCAATGATTTTGGTCTGTGCTTATTATTCATCACTGATTTATACAAAATTCGATTAAACTACATAGTATTTTGGAAATACCAGTTATGTTAGTTGGATGTAAAAAAAATATAACCAAACATCATTATAAAACTACTTGACATTGAATACCATTAGTGAGTGGTATTATTCAAATTATTGGTTGACGAGGTTATGTGGAGTAAATAAAGTCGTCTCCATGCAACATTCAAGTATACATATCTATCAGAAGAGAATATGTTTTAGATGTTGAAATAAGATTTTCGAATTAACTGTCCACAATATTAGACTCATTATACAGTAAAGTATGCTTTAAACATCTGGAATAAAACATCATAGAAAATTATATCAATACAGAGACAAAACTGAACTATTACATTGTCTGGCATTGTCTATGGAAAGGTTAGTATTATTTGTACTAATAGGAAGCAGATTGCATGAAATCGATAAATCACTAATCGAATATTTGTTTGTCAGTGTTACCGGATAACAATGTATACAATAAATTGAATTGTCTAAACACTGCACTCAAATCTGCCGTTTTCGTAAATAAGCAGGTAATGTTTTTATGAGCTGTTAAACCGTAAATGTATGAATATAGTCTGTATATGTATCTAAATCCGTTTAATTGACATTCAAACCTGTTGTGAGTGGTACATTTTCCTATCCATCATACAGGAAATTACTCCCGAAATAAATAAATTGAAAAGTAAGTAGCATACTCGAGGGTAAATTCAACAAAAGTCTAATATCTTTGTGCAGTCAAATGTCCGATCACTACTACAAATCTGTGAGTTTACTTTTTAATAAAATGCATCTCACCCGATCACTTTGAATTGCATTATAATTTTATCAAATGACAAAACATGGTCGTTGAGTTAATGCTGAATTAGGATTCAAGGAATATGAAAGGATTCTTATCTATATTTCCACAGACGAATTTTTAGTGGTTAGTTACTGAAATGTCTTCTAAAATATATTGATTACCAATCAAGGTTGATATTCATTTAACAGATTTCTACGACAACTTGTCATTATTTAAGAGTATACGAATGTTAGTATTCAATCTGTTAGATAGAAGTGATCTAACCAACAGGATTGATTTGATTAATCAATATTTAAATGCTGAAAATTTCACAAATAATTGGAGTTGGAAGCAAATGATCATTTCATTATATTTGTGTTCTGATACATTACTTACGCCTGTTAAACCTCGTCGAGGAGCATAGGCCGCTCACCAGCATTCTTCATCCAACACTGTTCTGGACAATCCTTTCCAGTTACTATTCATCCTTTTCATACATGATTCCAATTCTCGATGTAGTGTGTTTCTGGGCATTCCTGTTTTCCGTTTCCCTTCAGGATTCCAAATTAGCGCTTACCTCGTGATGCAGTTTGGTGATTTTCGTAATGTATTTCCTATCCACTTCCAACGCCTTTTCCTGATTTGCTCTTCAGCTTGAAGCTGGTTTATTCTCTCCCACAATAGGCTATTGTTCATCGTAACCAGTCAACGGATATTGGTTCTAATACATTGGTAGCAAGTAAATATTGTCTTTTCATACCTCTGAAACATGATCAAATTTACAACATTCGTTCATTATTTCTGTATCGATTCTAACTTATCTCTTCCATTACTATCACACACAAACATGTAGCGAGTGATTATGTACAGTTACTGTTATATTTTGAATGCTTGGTATTTTATAAGACCATGATTTATAGTAATTCCGTAGTGCGTAGGTGGTTAGTGACTATTTAAACCCCTTCTGATTGTTATGGCCCAAAGTCGCCAATCAGAAGCAGCGAATTATTGGTCTGACCAAGGACGCGTAAGACACGTGCGAGCAGCCCAGAACACCACTCTCAGCCTCTGTAATATGAATCCTCATATTTCAAGCATACTGAGTTTATATACCAATAAAATATGAAACAACATTTGTACAAGAATTAGCCAGATGTGGTTGTGAATGTGGGAGGCAGTGACTAATAGACAGGCATAATTCAAGAATGGTAAAACGTATAATAATGGTTCATAGGTCAAAATAAAGTTTATAATAAGAGGATTATGAATATGAGTAGTTTAGTTATTTGACAATTATCCGATAAAAATGTACGTTTAGTATTGGTCCATAAAAGGATCCCAAAGTTACCATTCATTATGTTTATCGGGACCTAACACTGATACTAATCAACATGTGCTCACTAGTGACCGGCCTCAAGAGGTATATCCTGTAGTTCTAGTGGAGTCCAACCGGGTCTGTTGTGAGAGAGTAACTCACTGAAGACAATGGTGGATGTGTCGCTGAATTTCATGGATTTGTTGAAGTTAGACAATAACACCGTTGGATGCCAGTTGGCTCAGTGGTCTAGAGGTCAAGCGCTGGCGCACGAGACTGATAGGTACTGAGTTCGATGTGCACTGCTGAGGAGTCCCGAAATAGGGCGAAATGGCCGCCCAGCGCTGCCAGGCTTTCCATGGTGGTCTAGCTTCAATTGATTCATGATCTCAACTATTGAAATTACTACAATCTTCACAAAACTCTTGATACTATTAAAGCAGTCATTTATAAATAAATATTAATTAAAGATAGTCGAAGTATCATCAAAATGCTTTATTGGATCATCAGTATAATTCAAATTCGTATTTAGTTCAGACATCTAAATAATAGATTTACTACAGTTTTTGTTATATATATTTACCTTATTATTGAATTCAACTTGATGATTCGATTAATATTACAATCTGAATGAAGTATTTCTTTCTATTTTTTTAATATATTCAAGTCAATTGTGCATAATTGATACTATGACCCTAAAAACACTATTTACCAATGAAGTCAATATGATGACATGACAGAGTTGATTTTCGATTTACATTTATATTCAATAACTAACTTTGTTATTAGATCAGTAAAATATTATTTTAGCTTTGAAATGAATTATCAACAATTGATAAGACTTATTATTTGGACTTCTTGGCTATTTAATCAAGAATTGATTGTATGATAGAATCATTTGTTGATTTTAATCGTTTTAATGTCTTACTTTCTGTTATGTCTTTTTTACCCTGTTAATCATATTATGTGATACGATCGCCAATTAAAACACGGATCTAGCATTGTAACAGACCAATGATGGATAAACCAGTACGAGCAGCCTAGAGTTAACTCTGAGTTGTTATTGGTCCACCCACTCGGTTCAGTCCAGAACATCAATATCAGCCTTCGTTATATAAATCATGTATTGCCAACATACGCAGTTTATATACAAATAAATCACACCGTACCATACTATATAATAGAAAACAACAACTAAGCAAGATCTAACCAAAAAGTGGCCGTGATTGTGAGACACTAACTAATAAATTGGGAATAACTTAAGAATAGTAAATTGTATAATAGTAATCATTAGGCCATATGAAATCTTATAATAAAAGGAATATAAATATACATATAATCTAGTTACTTAATAGTTATACAATATGAATATATATGATAATAGTTCATAAATAGATTCTAGAGGTTACCACTTACTTATTCTTCATCCGTATATAATACTTTCTGTTTGACTTAATTCCCGTTGTGAACCAATCTATGTATCATGTATATAAGTTATACATGATTTAATTTATATCAGAAATATGTTCCACTTATTAAACTGTTATGAAAATGCAATAATCCTACAAAACTTATATTTTGTAATCATTTATTATACATAGTGAAACCAAGATTACTTGATAAAGAATTCATTAATTTCTAACATAGCAAAATTGTCCTTGCCTATCAAAGTTGTGTAGATGAATATCATTCCAATCTTGTCTGTTATACATATTCATATGATATAGTAAGTTCAGTTTATATTGTGGATTTTCTTGATTTTATAGTATTATATAACAATCTTTTGAAAGTAATGTATTAACTTATGGACATTACATGGTAAATATCAATGATTATGAAAAAGATAATGATCGTGATGCATTCGAATTCTCTTTATTTATTTGAACACATAAATAGTGGTACAAAGGGGCACCGAATACATGTACGCCATGCAAGTCACTTGATTTGTGTGTGGGCTATGACACTGCCCGGGTGCCCGAACCGAAGCAGATGTTTTTTTCAAGGTACCACACTCGGAGCTTTCCACCTCATGATCTGATCCACAAGGCAGTAGAGCAATGTAAGTAGATGTCGTCCCATGGTAACTGGTGACCAACAACAGATTCATACGCCACTTTTTCCTCAGGATCCTGGAACCTATATGCACCATTGTTTTGGAATCAGGGTTTTCCAACTCCCTTAGGTGGACCCTCAGTGCCCACCAACCCGGTTAAAGTGCCTGACATTCGCTTTTCGTCCTCTCGATTTCGTAAACAACAGTAATCCCACAAGAAGGCAGTGAGTAGAACTTCTCTGACAGTGACTATATACGGGTGGCCATGTGAAAGCATTTGGAGAGGGAGAGCTGACTTTCCCCACCCTCGGCCATAACAAGTTATTTGGGGGCATAGTTGAGTACCTAATAAAATCTCAGTTAATTATGTTCAGTAAATCATTTGACTCAACCTACTTGAATATCATCATTTTTAACCACACACTCACTTTGATTAAACGACTAAGTAAAACCAAGAAGCACTGAATAGTTTATTTGTCTAAAGAAATAATCAATCATACTAGAAAACCTAAACAATAGAGAAAACTTTTCAAATGATTATTAAGTTGATGTGTGT